TTTGTCGGCCATCACACATTGATGACACCCAATGGGCCACCCATTGACCACCATCGCTACGCACTTTATACATTAAACATGCAAACACAAATGGTTGAAAACGCAAATCTGGCTGAGTATTCCATTACCTGGTTGATGCAAAGGGTTCTCAATCACAATCGCTTCGGCATCAACAGGTGTTCTTACGACCTCCAAGTCGGCTACGGCATCACCTTCGATTTTCACCGAATTCTCCGACGTCTGCTCGAGATCGTTCTGCTCCATACTCGAACTCAAAGATTACGCATATTGCGAAGGTTGCTGCAGTAAAAGGTGACACAAGAACCACACTGTAGGTAAAAGGTTTTATGGCGACACACAATGAACAAAGCATGCAAGTTGAACAGCTCACCTATCTTTGTTTGAATTGAAGTATTGTAATTATACGGATGTATTGTATTGCGTCTTTCAGTATATCGCATTGAACATCAAAATATAAAACACCACGCCTGCATTCTTGCCACCAAACTATGTCAACCCTACTCTATCGGTATACATTAAAATAAAGGTCAATGAAGAAATAACGTCAGGCAGATTCTATTCAATAAATCAGGTAACCAATTGTTGTATCTTAGTATATGCCTCACAGCCGTAATACTTTAAATAAATGCATTACAGTTAAACAATACATTCAGCCAGGGGTTTTCGGAATACTAACACAAACTTTAATACCTATTTGTTTGACATGAATTTAATTGTCAAATAATACCTGTATGCCAAAGTGTTGTAGACACAATAACATATTTAATCTTGTTCAATAAAAGATATAATAATAAAAATGCAATTTAACCTTTTTTTTTATGTCTTGGCAATCTTTTATACAATGAGAAAATGCATTGCATTCTCAGATATCCACAGTCGTGTGACAATTACTTCGTCTTGCTCATACGGAGGCGGCGGCAAGAAATTTTGCGTGGGGGGGTGGGGTAGTGTCTGCTCACCGACCTTGCGCCGAAGGCACGACCTTACTAGGGGGGGTCCGAGGGCATGCTCCTTCTTAAAAAATTTGAAATATAGGCCCTCTGAAATGCCATTTCCTGCACTTTGAAGGACAACATTTGCTGACACAAAGGGGTTCTGCCTGATTTTGGAGGGACCCCCCAACATTTTTCAGGGGGGGACATGCTATTACATTCAACAAAGTATAGTGTGTATCTGTACTTTGTTATAACCTTGAACCTCTCTTTCTCCACCTCAATATGACTTGATCACAGAGTGGGGGTGGTCAACCACTTTTGTTCAACCCAAAGGTCTACTAATCATGAGTCCAATGCAATAACTCTGGTGATCATTGAACTAAAATTTTCAAAACATTAATAAGTCTGTAAACATCAAAAACCAACAGTCATGCACACAAAATGACGTACCGGGTACTTCAGATTTCTCATTACATTATATATATATTTAATTGTTATTTTTGTTTATGAATATTTTTTGTTATTGTATCTCGGTCGCCATTATTCAGATGATAATTTACTAACAAATACTATTTTTTACTATGTGTCAGATCGATCAATGGTGGATACCATGTACATAGGACTATAAGCACATTCAGTTGACTTTACTTCTTGCCTGTATGTCTTGAGATGCATATCTTGCTATTTTGCTTGTGCCATTGAGTCATGTCGACCCCTGGTAAGTTGGTACCGGTAGTTGTCTTTGATGTTCCTCTACATATTATGAGGTCTAAAGTTGAAATTTGGATGATCTCCTTAATCTGGTCACAGCATCTCTGCTTTGGACATCCGCTTTCCTTCATCCTTCTCTGTGCCAATCAACACACCCTTTCAAGAATATGATTACCTTCCGAAAATGAAAATTTCCCTTCGAAAGGAGTCATAGAGAGCACAAAAACCACCACTATTCATGTGTCAGACCAGTGAAAAACTTTAAACCAATTAAGCTGAATATTCATGTACTCTATCAGTATAGAGCAGGGCAACACTTCTAAGCGCTATTGTTCATGTGTCAAGCCCAGCAGAAGCTAAAACACTGTCCTTAGTGAGGCCTGGGAAGAACATTAATCATGTATCATAGCCATAGCAGTATCTTCATACACTGTTTTGGTAAGGCCAATGCAAAACTTTCATTGACTCTCCACAGGACAGGGCAAACATTTTCTGCACTGCCCCTTTGAAGGCAGGTCTAAACTAAAACTATCTACATGTCAGATCACGACACAACCCCTATGCACTTTGCCTGTATCAGATCAGAGCAGAATTCTCATGCTTTTTCAGACTAAGGCAGTTAGTTTCAGGCACTGTCCCTCTGTCAGGACAGGGAGATCCTTTATGCTCTGATGTTGTGGCATGCTTGTGCAGGGCAGATATTCCATGCATTTTCCTGGGGCAGGTCAGGGTAGAACTTCCATTCTCTGTTCATGTGACGTACAGATTGGGCCAGAACTTTGATGCACTGTACTTGTGTAAGGCAAGGGAACAATATCCATGCATTTTCTCTGTATCATGCATAAAACAGAACCTTGATTCAGTCCTTTTGTCAGGCTCGAGCAGGAACTTCTTGCTTGAGCAAACTAGAATGGAACACAATACAGTGATGATAGCAAATATAGAGGCTACTTTAATATCCTAATAAAGAAAGACAACATTTAACTGACACAGTAGTTTTGTCATTGATACCGGAATTTAAAATTGATTCCATGTAACATGGTAAGTAATTATCAAACTACTTTATTGAATTTAATTTTATTTTGGCTACTGCATATTACATCATTGCCATATAGTCTCACAGAACACATTAGCAGTACAACCATTAGTATAAATTACATTTACTGAGAAGATTTTCAATCATCCAGCTCAGTCTGCAAAACGTTAAAAGTCAAGGTCCATCCATCTTCAATTAAATTTCAAACTAATTTGTATAAAATAATTCTATTAGTGAAAATAAAAGTACAAAACAGAAATAAAAGAACTGAAAAAAAAAAATTATTGAATTGCAAAATTCATCATAATAAAAGTTAACCTTAATACTAGTGCAAAATAATTGTCGCCATGGAGAATGTATAAAAACATCACTGCGTATCAAATGAAAAGAAATGAATTTGTGAAAATGTGTTTTATCTAATGAGAGACCTGCTAATTTTTATGTGGGTGAACATGTCTTTTATATAATTGGAAATAGTTCTGTACACAATGTTTGGAAAAAATCAATCAAGTTTAAGACATTATTATTTTCTGGGTCCCAAATCCACACAGGAGAAAGACAAAACTTTTTAAAATACGCATCAATAATTCCAGCATTTTAAAGTACATTTTGTATTCACTAAAAAGGCACATCTCATTTGAATATAAGATGGCAGTTAATTTACTCACATGATTGCGGCCTCTATAGTTCAATAAATTCACCACTGGTTGGTTGCAAATAATTATGGTTCTATAAATATTTAAGAAGCAGTTAAGATATCTTGAAAAGAACGATAAAAATGCCATTGCATCATTGAATGCGTTTCATGATTGATGATACTCCCACAATGCAATTTGTTGAGCATAATTTCTGGTTCAAGGTAATCGCACACTAAGTTTTTTCATGTAAATCCTTATTAGACTCCTACAATAATTTTACTAATGTTGGCAATTTTTTCGGCAAGCTTTTTGATATACATTTTGTTTGATCTTTGACACTTCCCCAGCTTTATGACATAGCAGATTGACTTTGTATCAGTTTTTGTTTTTTGATCTCTTGCTGCATACTACAAACCCACTCGGCAATTATTTGTGAATTGCTGTCGTCATACATCTGAATGAAAGGATGCATCATCAGAGCCTCTGGTTTTGGCCTATTGCTCGGTGTTTTCTGCATACTGAAACAAAATGTATAAAAAGTTGATTACTTGAATAGATGCAAGAGGCAAATTTCCAAGAAGCATGTTTTAGTTTTTCAATTTGTATTTGTCATAAAAATATAGTTATATTATTGTCAATGAATATAGGTTAATATACCTGGCATTAGTCTTTCACACCAACTATAATTTTTAAATTTGAAAAAAATGCACCAAATTTTTTATTGGCTACTGGTCTCAATTAAATTAATTTGACAAAATTGAAAAAAAAAAATTTCAGGTTTATTTAGTGAAACATGACAATTGTTTGCTTTGTCAGAATATTATTGGGTGAAAGTGATATCTAAACTGTCCATCTGTTTACATGTAAAAACCTTTTTACCATAAGTAATTTCACTTTACTTAAAGACAGAAATCAGTGATGTAATTTTAAATTTAAGTTTTTTGTTTAAACTTTAACAATAAACAATTACAAATTTTACACATTATATATAGAACAAACTACTAATAAGGAATTGTTGACAGCTTATGAAATGTGAAAAATGATAATAAGAATTCTCACTTCAATCATCAACAAGACCAACAAGTCTTATTATTATTACATACCACTGTTCAACAAAATCAGCAAATGCAGCAGTAAATATTCCTGGTGGTAGTCTGGGTGGATTCTGAAAACAAAAACAAGTTTAATAATCTGATAACAGCCAATAAAGTGGAAAAGCTGCCATTGGGGGCGCTATTCCTCACAATCAAAAGTTGTAGAACACATAGAAAAAATGTTTTACTTTGAATGCATAGTCATGTATGTATTATATAATGATAATCAAAGTTCATGTTGATTGTTTACATCCAACATAACAATTTAGCTTGACTAAAATAAAACCAGGTCACTAAACATAAATGAGGATGTATGCATCAAGCTCATATAAAACTGCTGTAACCTAGCAACAAACATATGACGCCGAGTAGAACAAGATGTTTTTATCAGAATTTGTTGTACTATTTGTTTGTTTCAAATTGATATGACATTCAATGGAGGTCCACAAAGCACACTATCACCGTAACTTGAAGGTTCACGTCACGTCGGTTTACATTTGAATTTCTGAATATTATGCTGGATATCAACTTACTTCATGTACTATACACTGTAAAAGATCTATTGCCTACAAATAAAAACAAAACAATTTATGGTATTATTGACAGAATATTATTATAATAGTGCATAATTAGTTTAATCACATCATGTGTAAAAACCACTTGATTTTTGCAAAAATAATAATTTCATACTTTTCTCTAGCAATTCAAGCCCCTGAAGGAAAGACCATATTCAGAAGATATCAATTTGATGTTTTTTTAGTTGATGAGAAATAAGATTGATTAGTTTTCTGTGTTGCGTCTTTATGTTTCACAATTTTTCTGTTTGGAATTATCCACTGGCATCTCCAAATTTACAATCATGTTGCCACCGACAAAAATATGGAATTTGAAATGCAGTATACTCACTGAAAGAGCTTGTTCTTTGGGAGTAGTCTGGAGTAAAGAAACAATAAACAATCAATTAGTGGGACTTAATGTAAATGCACATTCACCTTTTGTGCATTTTACAAATGCTATATACATAACATGGGACCCATACCAAAGTTGATACATTTAAATGAATATCATCTGTAAATTTACCCCATAATTCTGTACACTGCTTTATGAGTTACCTCATATTACACATCTGTCACTCTATCTCTATAAATGTGTCTTCATTTTGTGGTATTGCATGGGGAAATGTGAATTCCAAATTATGCTTATTTACAAGATGTTTGAAAAAAAAAAATTCATAGCAAATAAGTGACACTATTTTTTCTAATCTTGCTCAGTCCTGGGCTTTATACAATGAGCAGTTGAATCAAGAAAATGTGTAATAATAATGTCATTACAAAGATTCTACTATGCATATGATCACTGTACTGTCTTCATGCAT